TTTTAGTTGGTAGACCTAGGGCCAAAGCCCATACTGACCCATTGTCGATAGGGTGTGCAACAAAGCTAAGGCCAGTGGCTAGGAGAGCTCACAGGAGGTGCATCTACAACAACCTTGGGAGATGAAAGAAGGCTCCCAGAGAAGGTGGCATGGTGATTGCACAAAATAGAACAGGGGCCTTCAATAAGTAGAGCAGATCTGGAAACAGAGGAAAATGGAGAGCAATGTTCCTAGGTGGTAAGTATGGGGACTAGGGGTGAAGGAAACAGGAGACCAACAGGTACACTGGGGCAGTTTTTAGCAGAAGGGGTTGTGCAAAGGAGGCAAAGTTGTCTTCATGCATGCTTGAGCTCAAGTGACTGGCTCTAAGCTTGGAATACATGGTTTAGCAAATATTCTTTAATCTTTTGTATTTAAAATGCACAGTTGGATAGAGTTTGCTTTTTAATTATTGTTAATCTATTCTTTATGTATTTAGCTTTTTTTCACTGTTGTTAGGTGCCAACGGTTCCAACTCATAGCGATGCTGTTTACAATAGAACAAAATACTGCCCAGTCCTGCGCCATCCTCACAATCATTGTTATGCTTGAGCCCATTGTTGCAGCCACTGTGTCAGTCCATCTTGTTGAGAGTCTTCCTCTTTTGTGCTGACCCTCTACTTTACCAGGCATGATGTCCTTCTCCAGGGACTAATCTCTCCTGATAACATGTCCAAAATACGTGAGACGTAGTCTCGCCATCCTGGCTGTACTTCTTCCAGGACAGATTTGTTCGTTCTTTTGGCAGTCCATGGTATATTCAATATTCTTCACAAACACCGTAATTCAAAGGCGTCAGTTCTTCTTCAGTCTTCCTGATTTATTGTCCAGCTTTCACATGAAAATACCATGGCTGGGATCAGGCACACCTTAGTCTTCAAAGTGACATCTTCGCTTTTTAATGCTTTAAAGAGGTCTTTTGCCCCAGATTTGTCTGTTGTGATATCACCCATCTCATTTCTCGTATGGGTTATCTGCATTCCTCTCCTGCTTTTCTTTTGTTAGTTTGGCCAATGGTTTATCGATTTTGTTGATCTTTTCAAAGAACCAGCTTTTGGTCTTGGTAATTCTTGCAATTGTTTTTCTATTCTCTATTTCATTTAATTCTGCTCTAATTCTTATTATTTCCTTTCTTCTGA